ACCCGGTCCCGGGGCTCAGCCCGGGCAGGGATTCACCCGATCCCGGGGTGCAGGGATTCGCCCGATCCCGGGGCTCAGCGGGTCCAGGGGTTCATCCCATCCCGGGGCTCAGACTGGGCAGGGATTCCCCAGATCCCGGGGCTCAGCCGGTTCAGGGATTCATCCTATCCCGGGGCTCAGCCCGGGCAGGGACTCACCGGATCTCAGGGCTCAGCCAGTTCAGGGATTCACCCGATCCCGGGGCTCAGCCGGTCCAGGGATTCACCCGATACCGGGGTCTAAGGATTCACCCGATCCCGGGGCTCAGCGGGTCCAGGGGTTCATCCCGGGGCTCAGCCCGGGCAGGGATTCACCCGATCCCGGGGCTCAGCCAGTTCAGGGATTCACCCGATCCCGGGGCTCAGCCCGGGCAGGGACTCACCCGATCCCGGGGCTCAGCAGATCCAGGGATTCACCCGGTCCCGGGGCTCAGCGGATTCAGGGATTCATCCCATCCCGGGGCTCAGCCCGGGCAGGGATTCACCCGATCCCGGGGCTCAGCGGGTCCAGGGATCCATCCGGTCTCGGGGTTCAGCCGGTCCAGGGATCCATCCGGTCTCGGGGCTCAGCGGATTCAGGGATTCATCCCATCCCGGGGCTCGGTACCGCAGCCCCGGCCCTGCCACTGCGGGAGCTCCCCAAGCTCCAAATCCACTTTCGTACCGAAGAGCCCCGGGAGCATTTATTTGGCTAGAAATTATTAGGCGTTTTGTGATCTTAATCACGGGATCGATAAGGTTGGGAAAGAGCTCTGAGATCATCAAGGCCAACCCTCAAGGGGCGCTTTTCCCCCCACCCCAGAACTTTTAAAACTTCATTAATACAGTTGAAAACCAGCGTCCTGCAACGTGCAGTGAATCCCCTGGCACCTCCCAGACTCAAACAAATACTCTCCTGGAACTCCCTAACGATGGGAAGGGAAGAAGGAACATGCTACAGCCTTCTCAAAAACTCCTTATCCAAAGCACCAGGAGGAATTCTGCCTCCGAAGCCAACATCCTACATTTAATTTACAGGTTCACCCTGCCAGCACATGAGCTATTTCACCACCTAATTGTCCCCACGCACTTCCATAACGAGGGTGGTTACAAGTGCCCACAAGGCACGTTTTCATATTCGTTTCAGAAACAAACACAGCCAGGAACACCATGTCATGATTTTGGCCACTTTATTGTGTCAGCAGTGCTTCCTGGCAAGGGCAGAGCAGCAGGCTTAGAGCTGGACAAGTGCAGAGTACCTTTGGAATGGGGCAATCACAGAACCACAGAATCATTTGGGTCGGAAAACACCTCCAGGATCATCGAGTCCAACCTGTGCTGGATCCCCACGTTGTCACCCAGCCCAGAGCACCGAGTGCCACATCCAGTTGTTCCTTGGACACCTCCAGGGATGGGGAGACTCCACCACCTCCAGGCCTTTCCAGGTTTGGTATCATTGCTCCTGTATCCTCAGTATTTTGTTAGGCCTGTCGGACACAGTTTGGGATCCTGCCTTCTGAAGGGTGGAAGAGAAACCCTGGTATTCCATGGATGCTGTCCCTCTCCAGCAGCCCTGGTATTCCATGGACGCTGTCCTTTTCCAGCAGTCCTGGTATTCCATGGACGCTGTCCTTTTCCAGCAGCCCTGTTATTCCACGGTTGCCATCCTTCTCCAGCAGCCCTGCTATTCCATGGACGCTGTCCTTCTCCAGCAGCCCTGCTATTCCATGAATGCTGTCCTTTTCCAGCAGCCCTGCTATTCCACGGTTGCCGTCCTTTCACAGCCCTGCTATTCCACGGATCCCGCCCTTTTCCAGCGTCCCCGCCCTTCCACGCGTGTTATCCTTCCCCAGCAGCGCTCCCACGCCGTCTCCACCACCGGCGGGGTGTGGGGGGGGGGAGCCCGGCTCCCGTTTTTCCCGGATCTCAGGCCGCGTCCAGCTTTTCCTGAGCAGCGGCGAGGCGGCGCTGGAGGTAGCGCTGCCTCCAGCGGAGGAAGCGGCGGCGGAGCCGTCCCGCCTGCCAGCCCACGGCCACGCCGGCCGCGAAGGCGGCGAGCAGCGCCCAGCGCACGGCCCGAGGCCGGAGCGCCTCCAGCACCATCCCCGACCCCGGGATCCCGATCCCGGCACCGCCTCCCGCTTCCGCCGCGCCGAGGGGCGGGACCGGCCCCGTTAAAGGCGGCGGGGCCGGGGAGGTGCCGCGTCTGCCCCCGCCATGGCCGAGCCGCCCGCGCAGGTTCGTCCCGGGGGTCCCTTGTCCCCTTCTTGCTCCTTGTCCCCTTCTTGCTCCTTGTCCCCTTCTTGCTCCTTGTCCCCTTCTTGCTCCTTGTCCCCTTCTTGCCCCTTTCTCGCCCCCTTCTTCCTCCCTCCGGTAACTTCTCAGAGCTTACTCTCACCACCACCACCACCACCTCCTGACCGTCTCTCCCGTGTTTTCCCTCCCTTCCCGCAGGACCTGCTGCTGGCAGCAGCGTTCGTCTCCGACGCGCAGTACAACAGGAATATTCCCTTCAAGACGTCCCCCGAGGCGGTCAGGTAAGGAGGGCTGTGTGTGCCCCCCCCCCCCCCCATCACGAGGGAGCTGCCAAAAAAGCAGGGTGCTGAGGAGGGTGGGTGCGTGGGCTGCCAGAAGCCACATTTAAGCTGAAATGCTTAAAACGGGGCTCAGCCGCGTCTGTGTGTGATGGGAAAGGGAATTAAAAACTTGTGTCTTGCTGGAGGAATAAAAACAACATAAAGTCTCCCAAGCCTCTGCGGGGATGGAGAGTTTGGGAGGCTTGGCCGACCCTCAGCTGCGTGGAAGTGGCAGGGTTTGGTAGCAGGGGGGTCACAGTTGCCCTGTGTGGGAGAAGCTTGTGCCTGGAACGGGTGATACCACCCCATCACACCCCAAAAGTTCAGGTAACCCGCGGGGGGTGTGGCACCACTGCTCGAGTGTGCTCCACAAAGGGCTGTAGCTGCTGGGGGAGCAGAAATTAAAATCTTACGTTAATTGTCATAAGTGAAATTCCCCAAGCCAAGAACAGTTTCCCCTGTGATGGTGACTCCCCTTTGAGGTGCTGGGGAGAGGCTGAACAGCTCCAGGCACACCGAAGTCACTCCTTTTCCTGGGAGACTGGAGGGATTCAGTGTGTTTGTCCCAAAGGCTTTGAACAGGTGTGAGCTGCTGTGGAGCTGTAATGCCTCCCTGCTTTGGGAAAACAGTGTTTCATGTGATTTGGTCCTGACAGCTGAATGATTAAATGATCAGGTTTTGCATTGTCACCTCTGGATGGTGTTATTAGAAGAGTAACCTGAAAGCAGGTTGTTATAACCTCGATATTATAATATTAAATAATATTTGTAAGGAGGTAAAATATTTGTATAACGTGATAAATATTAAAGAATATAATACTTGTTATATATCACATCACTTTTCCTTGAAACGGGAGTATAGTAATATCATTGGAATATAAAGGGAGTATAATAATATAATTGGAAGCAAATTGCCAACATCCTGGCTGGCAAAAATATTTGTTTGGGGTGCATTTGGTGAGTCCCTGGGGATGTGCCCTGAAGCCTTTGTTTATGATGCCTCTGCCCTCTTTCTCCAGGCTTTATTATCTCTACAACCACTGGATGATGAGAACAGCCACCTACTTCTTCATCTTTCTCAACCTGTCCCTGGCCATGTTTGAAGAGCCTGCTGTGTACCCACTCCCCTTCCTGGTGAGTTTTTGGGATGGAGGCAGCAGGGGTTTCCTGCTGGAGAGGAGTTGTCAGAGGTATCAAGAGATAATGGATGGAGAGAGGCTGCTTACAAGGGCCTGGAGGGACAGGATGAGGGGGGATGGCTTCAAACTGCCAGAGAGTGGGTTTAAATTGGATGCTGGGAAGAAATTCTTGGCTGTGAGGGTGATGGGGCCCTGGTACAGGTTACCCAGAGGAGCTGTGGCTGCCCCATCCCTGGAAGTGTCCAGGGCCAGGTTGGACAGGGCTTGGAGCAATGTGGGCTAGTGGAAGGTGTCCCTGCCCATGGCAGGGGGTGGCACTGGATGAACTTTACATATTCCAGCACCTTCCAACCCAAACTACTCTGACATTCTGTGATTCTATGGTGTGTTGAAATGGGGACAAAAAAGGGGTATGGGAGCTGGACAGGGACTGTAGGAGCCATTGTGGCCATCAGCAAAGGCCAGTATGACTATGGACAAAGTCATGTTGCTGTTCTCCATCTCAGAGAACAATTCCAGCCTTTGGAGCGATTCCAGTCCCACCCTCATGTGTGAAAGTAGAAGACAAATGTTGCTCTTAGGCCTGACTTCTCTGCAGCCTTTTTGTTCTGCACCAGTGTGATTGTGACAGGTGTGCTCCTTGAATCCTAAGCAAACCCAAATTTGCTGGCTTTAACCTGCCTGTGGCAGGGAATCCCACAAAAGGAAGCCTGGAACTATTGCTCGGTGCCAGGTAGGTGAGTGTGCAAAACAGCTGACAGCAAACCCCTCCTTTGTGCAGCCTTTGCTTGTTGTTTCTGTGCCTGAACACCCTCATCTGTGCAGGAAGGGGTAGTGCTGCCCCTGGTTGTGCTGACTGAGCCCCTCCTGTCCCTCTTCAGGTCACATCCGTGCTGGAGGTGTTGTGCCTGCTGGTGTTCCTCGGCCGCCTGGCACACTTTGCCACGG